GTCTGTCAGCTTAGGCTCCACCCCTTCCTGTTTGTATGCATGTCTGTCAGCCTAGGCTCCGCCCCTTCCTGTTTGTATGTCTGTCAGCCTAGGCTCCGCCCCTTCCTGTTTGTATGCATGTCTGTCAGCCTAGGCTCCGCCCCTTCCTGTTTGTATGTCTGTCTGTCAGCCTAGGCTCCACCCCTTCCTGTTTGTATGTCTGTCAGCCTAGGCTCCACCCCTTCCTGTTTGTATGCATGTCTGTCAGCATAGGCTCTGCCCCTTCCTGTTTATATGTCTGTCAGCCTAGGCTCCGCCCCTTCCTGTTTGTATGTCTGTCAGCCTAGGCTCCGCCTCCTCCTTGACAGGTAGAAAAGGTTTTAGTGAACACATTAGAGCTAAATATGAATCGTTTGAAATGAAACGTTTTTAATTTCAACTTTTATGTTCCAGAATAAAACCTTTGGACTGACACACAAACACACACACAAACACACAAACAAACACACAAACACTAGGGTATTGTTTGAGTATTCTGTTACTATGAAATGATAATACACAAATATTTGTCAGATAGCTTCAGTAAAACAATAAATGTATTCTGAGTCATATTTTCTCTCCATGATCTTTATAAAGTGTTGTAGAGGGTCACCTGTAACCAGGAGCTTCCACCATCCATGGAGACCTCCTCCTCCTCCTCCTCCTCCTCCTCTGATGATCATCTTAAACATTACAGATGTGAACTATTAAAGGTCAAATTGTGTTATAAATTGATGACGCCCACCGGTCTACCACATGATTGGGTCGACACAGGCCCTTCTTGGATTGTCTGAAAAGCTATTTTCATTTTGGACATCCTGACCCCGCCTCTTGGTTGTCTCATGGACAACAAGAACAAAGACCTTCAAGTTCTCCACCACGACACCTGTCCGTTTGTGAAAATGAAAGGGAGAAAAGCCATGACTTCATTCACCCAATACAGGAAGCACAATCAAAGTTTCAGCCAATCAGAGCAGAGCAGGACCGGTCGTTGGCTCTGTTCACTGTTTATTGGTTGAAGGAACCGTCAGTTTAAAGCCTGTATAACCATTGGTTGAAGGTTTTAACAACAAAACACCTTGTTTTTTCTCTTAGTTTCACACATCAAAGGCTTGTAGTTTAAATCCACTGTTTTAACTTGTCTGAACAACCAGGAGGGGGGGCTGTTGTCCTCATGTTGACCCCTGTTTCATCACTGTGTGTAAATTAAATTTATAAAGCACAATAACTGAAACTTTAGCTTTAAATTTAATTAGCAAAAGCTACTTAACTGAAATACAAAATAACATACATACTCTGGCATTGACCTGCTGCTAGCAAGCTAACATTAGCAGGAGGTCAGCTAACATTAGCAGGAGGNTGGACAGGTGGACAGGTGACAGTGGACAGGTGACAGTGGACAGGTGGACAGTGGACAGGTGGACAGTGAACAGTGGACAGGTGGACAGTGGACAGGTGGACAGGTGGACAGGTGAACAGTGAACAGGTGCAGTCACTGCCCCTCCTTTAAAACCAGTCAGATATCTGTACTGGTTTAGTTCTGCTCATGAACCCAGGAGAAATGCTGCAGCTGCTTTTACAAATATAATTTATATAAAATATGACGTCATCCTCGGAGGAACAGAGTCCAGGAAACACTGAGAGGTGGTCACCTGAGCTGAGACAGGTGACCCATGCACACACAGTGATTGGTTGGTGACGTGCTGCTCTGTGATTGGTTGTCAGACGGTGGGGAAGAGCAGTAAGATGCTGCAGCACATCGACTACAGGATGAGGTGCATCCTGCAGGACGGACGCATTTTCATTGGAACCTTCAAGGCCTTCGACAAACACATGAACCTGATCCTGTGTGACTGCGACGAGTTCAGGAAGATCAAGTAGGTGGAGGCTCCGCCCCTTCCTGTTTGTATGTCTGTCAGCTTAGGCTCCACCCCTTCCTGTTTGTATG